AGGTATAATATTGAGTTAGTTCCTTGACAAGCAAATTAAAGCACCTGCACTCTTGTGTAAGACTGTTCCAAGAGTAATCAGTCAACCTTAGACAGAACTATCAGCTGATTAAACAAAATCAACCATATCCTCTTTAAAGGTAAGCCTATTTGCGCACAAAAACGCTACAAGAAAAAGTTTTGTATCTTGAAGAACTCCCTCAAAAAAACTCTTTCATCAGGGGTTTTTATAAGAACCAAAAATAATTAGATCTTCCTGCAGATTGAAATTCATCCTTTGATGGAGAATTGTAATTCAAATAAAATAAATGCAATTCTTTTCTCCGGATTGTGGTGACAGGTATCTGACATTTTCCATTTTTTTTTGTTGGTGGTTTAATATATACCAGTCGTGTATATCAGCTGATTAAACAACTTGAGTCCTATCTTCCATGAAAGCAATCTTATTTGCTCTTAAACAGGCTGAAAGAAAAAGCTTGAAACCTTGAAGAAACCTCAAAGGTTTTCTTTTAGTATCTTTTTATGTAGATTAGAAACTCATTCAGTCATATAGACTGTAAAACTACGTCCAAAATGTCACTGTTTTGTCCCTTTTGTAGTGAATCTGATGAATTTATTCAATTCCTTATCTCTTTCCTTGTTGACTGAATGAAATAAGAACTCAAAAACTTAAAATTTCTGGCAGTATAAATTTAACATAAAGCCAACTGGTCTCGTGGCTCTTTTGTCCCTCAAACCTTTAAGTAATATTACACAACATAGCTTTGTTTTGCTAAGGGGTAATTTGCCAATATTCTGTTTTCAGAAAACCTGACATTTAGTTTGCTTTTGAAAGCGTCACATTAGGAAAATATGACACAAAATTGCAAAATCTTAACTAAACCTTATTTAAAGCTAACTAGTGATTGATATACGAAGTTTTAAAAAATACCTGAAAGAAAGTCTTCTATAGTGCAAAGAGAATTATTGAGATTTTTTGTATTTACATACGAAGAGTCGAAGAGGAAATGAAGAGATTTTTACTGAAGTTGTCTCGCAACTAGTACTGTCTCAGTAGGCTATGGAAGGAAGACCTCGAGGAGGCACTGTGGGTAAGGCATCAAGGTGAAGTTCTTCTTTCATCTTGTCCAATATTGCAATCTTAGAAAGAACGTTTGGGGTAATTTAATT